TCAAATTGGATAAAGCTGATTAAAGCGGTAGCATGGCTCAGAAGATACGTGACCTATATAACCATCATGTACTCCCATCACAATGACAGGTCCCTAAGTGTGGGCTATCTGTCAGTTGATGAATTGGATGCAGCTAAACACAAGGTATTAGCCTTAGTGCAAAAGGAAGTGTATGGGGAAGCAGTAAAAGTGTCTCGATGCAATGGCGTAAGCGCAACTGATATAAAAGAGCTAAAAAATCTTTCACCTACGCTAATCGATGGATTGCTTTGTGTCGGCGGACGATTAAATTACTCGGATTATCCACTCTCAATCAGACATCCGGTAATTTTGCCCAGTCATCACTTCGTAACAGAACTTATTATTAGACACCATCACCACCTAGAAGGTCACACCGGGACATCACAAGTGTTAGCTACCATACGAAGAAATTATTGGATTGTTAAAGGAACCAGTGCAGTTAAACGAGTGATAGGTAGATGTGTGAGGTGTATACGCGCGAAAGCCACATTAGGCCAACAGATGATGGCACCTCTCCCCAAGTGTCGAGTGCAGCAAGGCTGGTTTTGCTTCTCCTCCGTCGGGATAGACTATTTTGGGCCGTTGATAGTTCGTCGGGGAAGAAGTGAGGAAAAAAGATATGGATGCCTATTTACGTGTCTCCAAACACGTGCCGTACATTTGGAAGTAGCTTTCAATTTGAGTACTGATGCTTTTATAATGGCTTTAATACGTTTCATAGGAAGGAGAGGAACTCCTAAGGAAATCTATAGCGACAATGGAACTAACTTTGTCGGGGCTACTTCCGAATTACGGGCTAATATGAGTGTGTGGGACAAGCATAAAATAAACGACTTAACAGTATCGAAGGGTATACACTGGCATTTCAACCCCCCACTAGCTAGCCATCGAGGCGGAGTTTGGGAGAGATTAATACGGTCTGTTCGGAGGATCTTACTATCTATTTCCAACGGGCAAATATTACACGATGATAGTTTGGCAACTTATTTTGTGGAGGTAGAACGAATTTTAAACAACCGCCCAATCGTTCCTGTGACGTCAGATGAAAAGGATGATTTGGCGCTCACGCCAAACACTTTGTTATTACTAAGAGACTGTGATGGTTTAGGAGTGGAGTGTAGTGTTGCGGATAGGTATTCAAAGCGATGGAGACAGGTCAATTGTTTAGCCAATACCTTCTGGCGTCGATGGATAAAAGAGTACATTCCTTTACTGCAAGTGAGGCAGAAATGGTTTTGCAAACACAGAAACTTAAAAGAAGGCGATGTAGTTCTAGTGGCTAACGATGCAACTACTCGGGGTTCATGGCCAATGGGACGGGTTGATAAGTGCGAGACAGATAGAGATGGATTGGTAAGAACAGTGATGGTGCGAATGAGAGAAGGTGTAGTAAGAAGAGATGTGCGAAAGCTCTGCCTTCTAGAGGGAGCCGAGTAATTGTAGATTGTAGCTTAGGTTTATGGATGTACAGGCGTACTGTTGTAAGTCCTGTGCCTCCCATTGATATAGAGCAGTTAGTAAGGAGAGCCATGACGGAAATGTATTCTAAGGTGTCTTTGCGTAGCTGGAGGGATTTTGGGGGCCGGTGTAACGGAAAGAGAACAGTAAAAATCCCTCTGCAGCTTCTTTGTTGAACAGTATTTTCATTTATTTGTTCCTTCTCCCTTTTGTGTATTCCAACCTTTGTTTCGATCTCGTTTAACCATGTCTTTTGTTCTTCAGTCTTCCCCGTTTGAGCCTTTATTATGTGATTTTGATTAAAGACTTATTTTTGTTACCTAATTTTCTATTGCATGTTGCCGGACCATTGACAGTAAGGTTGTGTTTGACTAAGCTCAAGGTCACGGCGTGGTTCATTTTGTGACTGTTAACCTTCTGACTGTCTGCTTGGGAGAATTGCTGCAATCCCTGCAGATAGATATTTGATCCCATCTTATTGGGAATATTTGTATTGATTCTCAGGTATCAAACCCTTTAGTATTAACTGTCTCTTTCATTGTTTAGCGCGCTACTTTGCGTTAGAGAAACTTCTGACTGTATAGCACAGGCTGTACCGTTTGAGGTATTTTGTATTTTTGATGTAATTTGTTCTGTTTTCTTAATTAGAACCGTTTATATTGAGCACAGAGTTTGTGTTTTGATATAATATAATACGAGTATCTCAAAGACGCGTTGTGAGCTATACAGAGGAACTTGGTCTGGTCTAATCGAATAAATTTTGGGTTCGTCAGTCCGTAGTTCCAACCGAATATTGGCTGTTCGGTCGTTACACTAAGCTACCTCAATGAAATCTAAATATTTCGTGGTGCAAATGCAGGGAAACACCGACTCAGTAATTATTCGTAGACAAACCGGATTATATAGATAATGAACAACTATACGTGTTACTAGACTGTTTAGCTGATAACCCTCGAAATAACGATGAATTCCGAAAAAAATTCAGGTTTCGCTAGTTCACTAAATGATCTATTATGCTTACATGCAGCAACTTATACTCTTCTAGACCAGTCACATATATATATATATATATATATATATATATATATATATATATATATATATATATATATATATATATAATCATTATAGCATCGCACAGAAACTCGTTTTTGGTGTAATATACACTTAATGATTCCATATGACAACATACTACTATGAAAAAGGGGGTTTTAAACGTAGCATTTTAGATCAAACAAGAGTTCAAATCTTGATGGTGGTTCTCAGTGTCATGTTTACATGCTTATAGAGGTTATGCACCAAGTAGACAAATATTTCTGCAACACGATTGGTAACGTCATCAGACATTTCCGAGTCAATAAACACGAACGTACTCTGGACTATCGAAAGTATTTGGGACCCAAAACAACACCACCTATTTTTTTTCCATAGCTAATGTCATGTCGAAACTATAAATAGCTATTCATAATGATTTCTCGACATTGCCGCATAGCTTGAAAACCACGTAATATGGTTGGTATAAGCGATGGAACTAAGAACTAAACTAGTCGATAATCTGACTGATAACTATTTCCATAAATGGTGTTGTTTTTCCACAGCTATCTTCATCTAACACTGATGGTTTCGAAAAAAATATTTCTATAAGTCGGTTCCCTAGTAAGTGGTATGGAACTTTATCAGTTTGACTGGAGGTTTGATAACAGCCATTTGTGCAAATCATCAGTGTCAGAAGTCAAGCAACCTCTTGCAGATTGGAGACATCATTGTTATGTTTATAAATACACTGACTGGAATCCATGCTATTTACGTAAAAATGGGTTGAAAGTTATATTCCTTTTGGCTAAAACCTATGTTGTCTCCGATAATCACATGGCTTGTACTCACTTTATCGACTTATGAGCATCCAATAAACTGAAGACATAGTACAGTTCATAATCTTTAGTGACACTATGTGAGCTGTATTAATTTCGCATCCTCAATCTCAAACGGATGGATTTATAGATTCTGCATGACCTATGCACAGTTAATTCTAATTAACTATCTAGAAAGATTAATATAGATAACTGATCCATTAAGTAATCAGAATATCATAGTTTCAGGGGAATCTGACTCAACTAAAAAGTTGGGCAGACAACATTGGACTTATTTGTAATATTTCACAGTGTAAAGTTATCCGAGACAAGTTGCGGAGTATGCATACAATTTAAGCAACTTTCCTTTAAAGTTATCCCAAGTTGTAAGAGGTATAAGTGTTGGTAGCCTATAGTCAGAAGTCTTACGCTAACTGCGTCAGCCAGTCAGTAACAACGTAGAGCTTCGTACGTACGTACATTAGTTCGAGTTGCCACACCACATTAGCGCAGAGATGCAGTTGTCGATTCAAATCCCGTAGTGGTAGAGGTAATAAGAGTATAAGCAGTAATCGGGAAGATTAGTGTTTGGAGATGTTATTTAAAGAGTATAATACAGTGAAATAATGTTGGAAAAAGGAAAAAAAGAGACGAGCAGGAATAAGGAGATCAAAATTTGGGAGAACACAAAGAGTGGATGCACCTGCGACATTGCAAACGATTTTCAGCCATGTCATTCAGGGTCTCTAACCATCGGTTGCTATCATCTCGTGGTCCCCAACCAGGTAGTCTACGCCTAACAACATGGCTCAATCCACTTGTCAGTGACTTCATGGACTTGTGCCATGTTTTGGTTTGGCCGCCCCTAGCTTTCTTCCAACCTACTCCTATACCACTGAACATAGCACGTCGAGGCAGTCGGTCGTTGGGCATACGTTACACGTTTCCCAGACATCTCAACTGATGAGGTTTCACTACTTCATCAATCGATTTGCCATCCTTACCTAGTACCCGTTTCCTAACAACTGCATTACTTACTCGATGGTCCCAGGATATACGAGCAATATTTCGAAGACACCTATGATCGAATATTAGTAACCTACGAATATCCTCTACTCCTACCGGCCATGTTTCACTGCTATAAAGTAGGACGGAACGAACTGCCTCGCAGTAAACCCGTCCTTTGGTTGATAGACGGATATCTCACCTACGCCATAAATGACGCAAGTTGGCAAAAGCTAGTCGAGCCTTCTGTATCCGTGGTGAGATTTCGTCACACACCAGACCACAAGGGCTGATGAGACTCTCAAGATAATTGAAGCGGTCGATACGCTAAATTACTTCACTTCGTATCATTAGTTCGGGTGTCGATGCAACCCAATCCTGAAGCAACATTTTGCATTTCGAGGGAGAGAATCACATCCTGAACATGCTTGCATTGTTGCTTAGAGTGGTCAGAAGACTCTGCATTTTGTCAGCGTCTTCACCAAATAAAACTATGTCATCAGCATATTCTAAGTCAACAAGTGAACCTCCCGGTAGAAGTTCAACCCCTGTAAATTTAGATGAGGAGAGTGTTATCTCTAAAAGTACGTCAATGACGAAGTTGAACAAGAATGGAGAGAGTGGACAGCCCTGACGAACACCACTTGAGGTAATCAATTCTGATGACAGTTCGCCATAAGCTCTCACTCAACTAGTTGTCTTCGAGTAGAGAGCCTTTATAAGTGTAACGACAGAACAGCCAATATTCGGTTGGAACTACGGACTGACGAACCCAAAATTTATTCGATTAGACCAGACCAAGTTCCTCTGTATAGCTCACAACGCGTCTTTGAGATACTCGTATTATATTATATCAAAACACAAACTCTGTGCTCAATATAAACGGTTCTAATTAAGAAAACAGAACAAGTTACATCAAAAATACAAAATACCTCAAACGGTACAGCCTGTGCTATACAGTCAGAAGTTTCTCTAACGCAAAGTAGCGCGCTAAACAATGAAAGAGACAGTTAACACTAAAGGGTTTGATACCTGAGAATCAATACAAATATTCCCAATAAGATGGGATCAAATATCTATCTGCAGGGATTGCAGCAATTCTCCCAAGCAGACAGTCAGAAGGTTAACAGTCACAAAATGAATCACGCCGTGACCTTGAGCTTAGTCAAACACAACCTTACTGTCAATGGTCCGGCAACATGCAATAGAAAACTAGGTAACAAAAATAAGTCTTTAATCAAAATCACATAATAAAGGCTCAAACGGGGAAGACTGAAGAACAAAAGACATGGTTAAACGAGATCGAAACAAAAGTTGGAATACACAAAAGGGAGAAGGAACAAATAAATGAAAATACTGTTAAACAAAGAAGCTGCAGAGGGATTTTTACTGTTCTCTTTCCGTTACACCGGCCCCCAAAATCCCTCCAGCTACGCAAAGACACCATAGAATACATTTCCGTCATGGCTCTCCTTACTAACTGCTCTATATCAATGGGAGGCACAGGACTTACAACAGTACGCCTGTACATCCATAAACCTAAACTACAATCTACAATTACTCGGCTCCCTCTAGAAGGCAGAGCTTTCGCACATCTCTTCTTACTACACCTTTTCTCATTCGCACCATCACTGTTCTTACCAATCCATCTCTATCTGTCTCGCACTTATCAACCCGTCCCATTGGCCATGAACCCCGAGTAGTTGCATCGTTAGCCACTAGAACTACATCGCCTTCTTTTAAGTTTCTGTGTTTGCAAAACCATTTCTGCCTCACTTGCAGTAAAGGAATGTACTCTTTTATCCATCGACGCCAGAAGGTATTGGCTAAACAATTGACCTGTCTCCATCGCTTTGAATACCTATCCGCAACACTACACTCCACTCCTAAACCATCACAGTCTCTTAGTAATAACAAAGTGTTTGGCGTGAGCGCCAAATCATCCTTTTCATCTGACGTCACAGGAACGATTGGGCGGTTGTTTAAAATTCGTTCTACCTCCACAAAATAAGTTGCCAAACTATCATCGTGTAATATTTGCCCGTTGGAAATAGATAGTAAGATCCTCCTAACAGACCGTATTAATCTCTCCCAAACTCCGCCTCGATGGCTAGCTAGTGGGGGGTTGAAATGCCAGTGTATACCCTTCGATACTGTTAAGTCGTTTATTTTATGCTTGTCCCACACACTCATATTAGCCCGTAATTCGGAAGTAGCCCCGACAAAGTTAGTTCCATTGTCGCTATAGATTTCCTTAGGAGTTCCTCTCCTTCCTATGAAACGTATTAAGGCCATTATAAAAGCATCAGTACTCAAATTGAAAGCTACTTCCAAATGTACGGCACGTGTTTGGAGACACGTAAATAGGCATCCATATCTTTTTTCCTCACTTCTTCCCCGACGAACTATCAACGGCCCAAAATAGTCTATCCCGACGGAGGAGAAGCAAAACCAGCCTTGCTGCACTCGACACTTGGGGAGAGGTGCCATCATCTGTTGGCCTAATGTGGCTTTCGCGCGTATACACCTCACACATCTACCTATCACTCGTTTAACTGCACTGGTTCCTTTAACAATCCAATAATTTCTTCGTATGGTAGCTAACACTTGTGATGTCCCGGTGTGACCTTCTAGGTGGTGATGGTGTCTAATAATAAGTTCTGTTACGAAGTGATGACTGGGCAAAATTACCGGATGTCTGATTGAGAGTGGATAATCCGAGTAATTTAATCGTCCGCCGACACAAAGCAATCCATCGATTAGCGTAGGTGAAAGATTTTTTAGCTCTTTTATATCAGTTGCGCTTACGCCATTGCATCGAGACACTTTTACTGCTTCCCCATACACTTCCTTTTGCACTAAGGCTAATATCTTGTGTTTAGCTGCATCCAATTCATCAACTGACAGATAGCCCACACTTAGGGACCTGTCATCGTGATGCGAGTACATGATGGTTATATAGGTCACGTATCTTCTGAGCCATGCTACCGCTTTAATCAGCTTTATCCAATTTGAGTGATATAGCAGAATTGGACTTAAGCTATGTTTTAGCGCAACTGCGTTGGTCGTGTGACATCTTTTAAATTCAACATTTTCTGGGGGGTTTTCGCACATAAGCGTTAGTGTTCCTACAGACTCCCTCTTCCTTAAGAAGGAAGGACCCTCAATCCAGTTTTTTAAATTTAGCTCCTTCCGTATGCCTCGTGATGTCCAGTCAGCAGGATTTTCATTGGACTCTACGTGCCCCCACTGGTCCACAGATGTTAAATAACGAATAGCGGCCAGACGATTAGCCACGAAGGTGGAATACCTACTATCTGTATTTTTTATATAGTACCGTACTATCATAGAATCCGTCCAGAAGTGAGTCTTGTCAAACACCTGAGGAAGGTTCCTATTTAAAACTTCCCCATTCTAGCACTCAATACTGCCGCTGCTAGTTCCAGTCTAGACACAGTCACCTGTTTTATAGGTGCCACTCTAGACTTACTATAGAGAAAAACGATGTCCGGTGGTTTGCGTCTGAGTATGTTCCACGAAGAGACAGAGGAACTGCAACCTGTCTTAGTCAGGATTTTCATCATAAAGTCGGCAAGAACTCTACCAGCAAGGTCCAATCGCAAAACAGTATAAGGCAACGCATAATCATAAATCGGAACTGTGTGGGTCACACCGTCACCTAAGTCCAATACTATAGCAGTTGTACGACCAGATGTACATAGTGACAACTCCATTTTAATAGCAGCACACATACCCGGTGTATTAAAAATTTCAAAAATGATTCTTGTCATCTCACGGTTTGCCTTCGGGTTCAATGAAACTTCTCTCAACAACACCGAATGTTTCTCTCTTGCCACTCGCAACCCTTTGTAGAATGTGTGGTACCATATCTTCTCCATATCACCCCACTTAGTCGCAATACCATGTTCAACTCGGTACTTCAGTGTCAGGATAACACGTTTCGATCGAGCATCGTCTCCCACATGACTGTCCTTTCCATTCATTCCCACAGTCACTACTTGATGTCTAGTTCTTCCAACAATAGAGGGTAATACAGCTCTGGCAGCATCATTTTTGGTGAAGCCAGCTTTACACATACCAGACTCATTGCCAATAACAGCGGCAGCAATGTCTTCCTCAGCCACTCCTCTAGGTAAAGGAACAATATCGTAACTTTCATCGAAGTAGACATCGCGCTCTACTGTTGGAAGTTCAAGACCTACACTTGGAGATTCCAAGGTCACTTCCTTCTTCTTCGTTCCTGGATAATCTAGCAGTTTGGACTTTTCTAGAGACTTTGTCCTAAGGTCATGAGAAGGACTTACAAACCTGTGAGTGTGCTCCTTTTCTCTGTCATCACAGTTAGAAACAGAAGACAACTTACTACACGTGCTTTCGTTCAGCCTTAACGACCCAAACTCTCTCTGAAAGCACAGTAGTTGTTTCCTCTGCCTATCTTTCAAGTCTCTCATTTCTGATAACTGTCTCTCAACTCTGCTAAGGTAATTCTAGAGCTAACCTTACTACGTCTACTTACTAAACTAACATTAGAGCCATGACATGAAAATGCATCTAATTTGACTTGCCGTGCATCTGGAGGTGCATCCGATTGCATTTCTCCGTGGCCCAATGCCAAGTTTTCGTTGACCTTATTGCGCTTTCCAGGCATTCCAGAATTTGTCACTTGAGATTACTGTACGTTTGAGAACTGTAACGACCGAACAGCCAATATTCGGTTGGAACTACGGACTGACGAACCCAAAATTTATTCGATTAGACCAGACCAAGTTCCTCTGTATAGCTCACAACGCGTCTTTGAGATACTCGTATTATATTATATCAAAACACAAACTCTGTGCTCAATATAAACGGTTCTAATTAAGAAAACAGAACAAGTTACATCAGAAATACAAAATACCTCAAACGGTACAGCCTGTGCTAAATGGTTCAAATGGTTGTGGACGGAATAGAAGAAGCTTTCGCTTAACAGGCTTCCGTGTCTAGTAGCAGGGGATCACCAAATCCTCCAGGCAGGAACCTAGGTATGTTAACAATAAAAAGGAAAAGAAATTGGTAAATCATAATGTGATGCTGTCCTTGGTCCTTAAGAATAGGTCAAGTTGCCTCTTGAAGGACTCCTGAGAAGTCGCTTGGACTAGCTCGGCCGGCAGCGAATTCCAGCTTTTGACAACTCTTAAGGAGTAGAAGTTGTGTCTACATTCCGTCTTGCTATGTTGTGTTTCCAGTTTCTGGGTGTTACCCCTTAGGTTATTATTCGAACTAAGCTTAAGTAGGTGTTTAAGAGGATGTCCAGAAGTGTTAAGAATACTATAAGCCATTAGTAAATCACCTCTAAGACGCCTATATTCTAGTGGGTAAAGGTCTAGTGAACGGAGGCGTTCTTCGTAAGGCTTAGATTTGAGTCCTCGAACTGATTTCGTGGCTCGCCGTTGGATACGCTCCAAAGTGACCTTGTCCTTTTGGAGTGAGGGGGGAGTACTATGTTTCCGTACTCTAAATGGGGACGGATGAAACTATTGAAGATTGTGTGGAAAGTTCGTCCGTCAAACTGTCCAAAAATGCGCTTCAACGTTACCAGTGCAAGGTTTGCTCGGAAGGCATTTTTGTCACAGTTAGCGTAAGACTTTAAGTCATGGGGCACCAGGACTCCTAAATCTTTTTCGACTTGGGATACTACTAGAGAGGAGTTTCCTAAGTTGTAACTGTAGTTTGCTACATGTCGCAGATGGACTACTTTACACTTTGAAGTGTTAAAGGTAAGTCCGTTATCGTCTGCCCAACTTTGAAGTCGCGTCAGATCCTCCTGAAGTGCCTGTGTATCGTCTTGGTTGCGTATCTCTCTCCAAAGTTTCACGTCGTCGGCAAAAAGTAATAAATCTGACGTTACCTGTTGAGGAAGATCATTTATGTAGATCAAGAAGAGAAGAGGCCCTAGTACTGAGCCCTGGGGGACCCCACTAGGACATTCCATAGCCTGAGATAAAGTGAAATTAACCCTAACCTTAAAGTGTCGATTTTTTAGGTATGAAGTAAGCCAATCGATTAGAGGTGGTTTGATACCTAGTCGTTTGAGCTTGTTGATAAGACATAAGTGGTTAACCTTATCAAAAGCTTTTGAGAAATCAAGGTAAATGACATCAACCTTTCCCTTGCAATCGAGGATGCTTGTCCATTTGTCCACCGCAGTCAGCAGGTTGGTTATACAAGAGTAACCCTTCCTGAAACCATGCTGTTGGGGTGAGAAGAAATTTAAGGACAGTAGATAGTCATTTAAACCGTCGCATATCAGGGACTCCATGAGTTTTGAAGGTAATGACAGAAGAGCCACCGGCCGATAACTTGAAGGTTCATTGCGTCGACCACCTTTGAAAATTGGTGTGATGTGAGCCAACTTCCAATTTTCCGGTAATTTGCCTCGGCTAAGCGAGTGTGAAAACATCACGCTAAGCGGCGTTGCCAGGATTGAGGCTGCCTCCCTCAGTATGGCAGGATGAACCATATCCGGGCCAGGAGAAGTGTCAAGTCTTAAGTGCTGCAATTTCCGGAACACCAAGTCAGCGCTTAGGTCCACTTCAGAAAGTCCTGTGGAGTTGGAGATGAAACTGTCGTCAATAAAGTTGATGTCAGCCGGTTGAAATGTTTGAGAGTAATGGGCCGCCAGAAGGTTAGCGGCGTCGCCATCGTTGTTGGTCGGGCCGTTAAGACCTAGCAGTTGAGAAACTCCTGTTTTGGCTTGACGAAGAGAGGCTGCATAACGGAATAGGCTTCTAGGGTTAGAGGCGAATTTGTCCATAAGCTTTGTTTGGTACTGAAGCCTGTCTTCTCTTATAGCCTTCGTGCATGTGTTCCTGATATGTTTGTATTGCCTATACGCTCCATCGTTATTAGTTCGTTTGTATTCCGCCCAACAGTGCCGTTTGCGGCTTAGGAGGCGAAGGGTACGGTTCTTGATTACTGTAGGTGGCTTGAAGCTTTTGGGAACCGTTTGAGGAACTGAATGGTCTGTAGCACATAAGAGCGTGTGCAGTAAGAAGTCCCAATGACCATCCACATCGATTTGAGGGTGAACATCCCAAACGACCTGTTGTAGATAGTCATGTAGAGCTGGCACATTCAGCCGTTTAAAATTCCAACGCAAATTATTGTTGGGATACCTTAGCTTAGTTTTGATGACAAAACTGAAGGCTATGACGGCATGATCGCTTTTTCCCAGAGGAGCCAGGATTGAGAGGTTGTCGACTAGGAATTCTTCGTTAGTGAATACACAGTCTAAGCGCGATGGTGTCTGACTGTTTCTCCAACGAGTTGCCGACCTCACATTTTCATATAAGCCCAAGTTATCGATGAGGTTGTAGAACCGAGCTTCAATTGAGTTGTCGCCTCCAGTGTACGTGTGTTCCGCGAAGTTGACTCTAGGGAGATTAAAGTCCCCTAGAATCAGGATGTGTGTGAAACCGAGACGGATAGAGCGGGATAGTCCTTCCAGCATACGACTATCGTACTCGGTGTCGGCAGTTGGCTTCCTGTAAATGACTCCGACTAGACACCTGGAAGTACTAGACAATCTTACAGAGCACCATATGGATTCCTCAAGATTGTTAAACTCGAGGTTGTGAACTTGGTGCACCTCCAAGCAAGAGCTTATGTATATGGCTACTCCGCCCCCAATTCCTGTTTTTCTGTCGTTGCGGAACAAAGTCATCCCAGGTAATGCTAACTCTTGGTCCGAGAACTGAGAAGATATCCAGGTTTCAGATATTCCTATCAGATGGGCCTTATTAGCGCTGCTAAGTTCACGTAGTTCATCCAGTTTGTTTGGTAGACTCGCGGCGTTCATATATAAGCAGTTTATGCTTTCAATTTGGAACGCGTGAGCTTCGTCCTGTTTTTCTGTATGAACCTTGTGTGAATGGACAGGTAGCCCACCTATATGAGGTTTGCCGAGGTGGTAGGCCCTGTCCTTTACACGTTTTTTTTATCGTTTAGACAGTCCACAAGTGGAATGGTCAGCTCCAACTTGCCTTTGTTCTTGGTCCTAACTTCGTATGGCCTATCCGGGTGCATGTGGATTCCAGGTGGCAATCGACGTCTATTAGCACGAAATGCTTCCAGAACTGCAGCCGCCATGTGGGAAGATGGGAAGGTTATCTTCATTAGACGGGGTCTAAGATCACCGTCCTTCTTGGCTAGTCTCGTCACATGCTGAGTCAGTATGTGTTTGAGCCTCAAGGACTGTTTGATGAATTTCCATTCCCTGATGTCAGAATTTGATTGAGTAGGGTCTGCATTTTCCGGTATACCTTGGACAATTATGTTTCTTCCGCGGAAAAACTTCTCGCGAGATTCTTTAGGGACGTTTCGTATGATATTGCGCTCAGAGTACGGTATGTCGGGCAGTATTCTTACGTTACCATCTGATTTCAGCAAGTGACTTGCTAGCAAGACGTCCTCTACGTCGGTAGCATCCTTAAGTGTTACTCGGAGAAGCCTCGGGTGATTTAGATGCTTAGAATCCTTTCCTCGAGTGAGCCGGGTGACCGTCAAAGGCTCTATTCTAGGAAGTTCAAGCTTCTTGTTCAATTCACCCCAGAGCATCCTGTCGTTTTTGTCCTGCAGACTGAGAGGAAGATCAGGATTGTCAACGAGGTTCATGATAATGAGAGAATCGTCACGAACTGTTGTTAATTTACCAGGTTTCACGATGGGTTCAGGTTTAGTAACTTGTTGTTTGGAGGTCAGTGTGCGTTTTTGAATCATGGGCTCTTTATTGGCCGGACGAACAGTCTTGGGGGTAGACTGTGCGACTAAATCACCAGTTATTTTCCGTGCACCAACACTTGGGTTGCTCGGCTTAGGCAGTGATGCCTGGTTCTTTACAGTCAGAAGTTTCTCTAACGCAAAGTAGCGCGCTAAACAATGAAAGAGACAGTTAACACTAAAGGGTTTGATACCTGAGAATCAATACAAATATTCCCAATAAGATGGGACCAAATATCTATCTGCAGGGATTGCAGCAATTCTCCCAAGCAGACAGTCAGAAGGTTAACAGTCACAAAATGAACCACGCCGTGACCTTGAGCTTAGTCAAACACAACCTTACTGTCAATGGTCCGGCAACATGCAATAGAAAACTAGGTAACAAAAATAAGTCTTTAATCAAAATCACATAATAAAGGCTCAAACGGGGGAGACTGAAGAACAAAAGACATGGTTAAACGAGATCGAAACAAAAGTTGGAATACACAAAAGGGAGAAGGAACAAATAAATGAAAATACTGTTAAACAAAGAAGCTGCAGAGGGATTTTTACTGTTCTCTTTCCGTTACAATAAGGTTAATGTACTTCTTTGGTACTCCTTTCAGTGACAAACACTGCCATAGAACCTCACGATCAACAGGGTCGAATGCCGCCTTAAGGTCGAGAAATACTACCATTGTGGGGCGTCTGAATGTGTGTCTGTGTTCTAGAACCTGACGTAGTGTGAATATCTGATCTATACAACCACGTCCAGGTCGAAAACCAGCCTGATTTTCTCTAGTCTGCTCTTCACGAGCTTTGATTAGGCGTCGAAATATTATTGAAGCTAATATTTTAGACACTATATTTGTCAAACTGATTCCCCTGTGATTGTCACAAGAGGACTTTTGTCCTTTCTTATAGACTGGCACAATCAGTGATTGAGACCAGTCAGATGGGATTGCATCCAGTTCCCAAATTCTACCTAAAACCTCAGTTAATCTCACTGCTTATACTGGACCACCATCCTTAAAAATTTCAGGAGTAAACCTGTCAGGGCCTGCTGCTCTCCCTCGTTTCAGATTTCCTTCTACTTCGTAAAGAGTCGGAGGACCTACATTAACTTGCCATTCAGGTCGATTGGAGATCATGGGAAACCGAAGTGTGGCTGAAGGCCTGTTGAACTGATCCCTGAAGTGTTCTGCCCATCGATCCAATCTCCTGGATGAGAATGCATAATATGTCCATCTTTCTCTGAGAGTGTTTCTCTAACAGTCGGTTTCCTAATACCGGTTTCCTTAACAAGTCTGAACAATTGTCTGCTATTACCTATTGCCGCTGCCTTTTCCATCTCTATTGCTTTCGCTACCCACCACTGTTCACGATCATTGCGTAGACTTCTTGTCAGCTTGAGCTTAAGCTGACTCCGCTCTTCATTATGTTCAGAGCCAGATGGAATGAGTTTCCGAGCATCTATCAGTGCGATAGATGCTGCTGAGATCCAGTGTTTCTCCCTAACCTTACGGTTTACCTTACTAGCAGATATCACTGCTGTTTCCACAGCTTTTCGGATATCATTCCATGCCGCCTCGGGGTGGGCATCACATACATGGCTGCCTAACTGTTTTTCTAGTTGTTCCTGAAATATACTCTTAGCTTGACTATCATTAAGTAGGGCCCCAAGAGGTTTCCTTGCAGAGTCTTTCCTACGTCCAGTAAGACGCAGGAAAATACGTGCTCGCACTAGAGCATGATCTGAATCTAAGCATGTGCTCCAGAATGAGCGACAGTCTTCTACCGAGCCCCTCCATCGGTGGCTGATAGAGATGTGATCTATTCGGGTCCAACGTTGGGACGAATTAGGGGGTCGCCATGTTAAAAGATGTTTTTCCTTATGCTTAAAGTTAGTATTTGCAAGGAACAGGCGGTTATCTGAGCATAGCTGCAACAGACGGTCGCCATTATCTGTTCTTTGAGCCACGATGCTATAAGATCCACCCAGGTATCTTTCCCTATCGCTTAGTTTACCTACTTGAGCATTAAAGTCACCGGCCATTATTACTACATCCGAGCGCTTAGCTTCTCGGAGAAGGTCCACAAGCTTTCTGTAAAACTCATCTTTTACGTCATCTGAGCTGCAGTCAGCGGGAGAATAGGCAGAGACGACGAAGAGGCAACGACGAGTGTCCCTATCTTTCCGGATTCTTACTGTTCCGTTCAGTCGGACAGCGCACAAACGACTGTCTACTGGGATCCACTCTAAGAGAGCTAGTTCTGCCCTAGGACTCAATGCTATACCTACGCCGGCGAGGCCACGGGAAGCAGAATCTGTGCTTCCAGATACACGAAGTGTGAATCGAGTTGGTTCTTTGTTTTGACATGGTGATGTCAAATGAATGGCGCTACTCGGATCCTGTATGCGCGTTTCGGAGACACAGCACACATCGATGACTCGAGATTCTTAAGTCCTAGCTAAGGAAGCCTGCTGTCCTTTTTGGCACAGTGTTCGTACGTTAAAAGCCCCTACATGTATTTTAGAGACCAGGAGATCAGGAATAACGTTCCGCATACTCGAATCGTTTGCCCTAGCGGTGAGAGGTGGAAAGAGGACGTGTGAAGGGTTAGTCGGGGAGATAAGAGAGGTGTTAAGAGGTGTAGGAAGGATTTGAATGTGACCAACTTGGTCTCGTGTGCTGTTACGGATATGAGGGCTGGTGTCTCTTCCCGGCTGCCCACACCGTGGAAGGGTATTTCTTGAGGAACCTGAAAAAGAAGTCGGATTAGTGTTGGTCTTAATGACCTGGGAGCGTGACCGCAGAGCCCAAGGAACAACCGTTTGAGGCCGGTCGCGCACGGCCTTTTTTGGGAGGTTTTTAACGTGTTAGCCCCGTTCTTCAAAGGGCCTTTCTGCCGGAGACGGAAGGTAAGGTAAGGTGTGACATTTTTAGGGTCGACCTTTTCTAACCCCCCTCCTTGTGGGAAAACAGCATCTCTGCAGATGCCGGCTGTTCGGGAGAAACACCTTACTACTGTCACACCCCTCTACAGCCAGCAGTACGACTTCGCCCTCAGACCTTGAGTTGCTGCTTTTAGTCTTACCGTTCTCCAATCGACCTGCCTAGCATGGTAGAACTTACAGGAACATATGTTCCAGCCAATATAGCTCGGTTGGGTTATCACGATAGGAAAGCCCGACCACCGCGTCAAGGTGGCAGTTACGGTCGGGTGTGGATTTTGGTGAGGATGGAGTGTGTGGAATGTGGAGCGTTCCACGACTGCGCGTACAAACCCTTACCAAATGCCATACCAATCTCAACGCACGCCAACTGCAACTAAAATGCACTTCGAGTAAATTTTGCACTGGCAACATTGGAGCGCATTTTTGACCATTTTGAAAGCACAAAGTTGTGTTTATCTTCAACAGTTTTATTCGACCCCATTTAGAGTATGGAAATATCGTATTTCCTCCCCCACTCCATAAAGAGAAGGATCCACTAGAACGTATCTATCAGCGAGCCACTAAATCAATTCAGGAACTCAAATTAAAGCCTAAATAAGAGCGCTTCAAATCACTGAATCTTCAGTCGGCTTAGAAGTGACCTTCAAACGACTTACAACACGCTAAACGCTCCTGGGTATCCCCTTTAATACCTACTTAGGTTTGGTCCAAACAAAAACCTTAGAACTAACACCCAAAAACCGCAAACTTAATATATTAGAGCGGATCGTAGGCACACCTACTCATTGAGAGTGGTCAAATGTTGGATGTCGCTGCCGGCCGAGCTAGTCCAAGAGACTTCTCAGGAGTCCCTCTTAAGAACTAAGGACAACGTCTCACCACAATGCAATAATTTTCTCTTTTGTCGTTAACTATACCTAGGTTACTGCCTAGAAACATCGGTATTCCCTGCTACTTTAAACGAAAGCAAGTTAAGCGAAAGCTTCTATTCCGTACAGAACAATTCAAACCATTTGGAAAGCCCTACCCGAGCAGACATTATCAGTACAATCAGTGAAAAGTTTCAAGGCGGGTTCGAATCCACACTATAAAACAGGATGTATGGATTAACACAGGTCAAACGACCTACTATCCTTATCACTGTAGTCTAGCTTCTAGCCTTGAGGTTACGCGGTACATTTGTGTTTTGTTGGATGATGGGGTTTGAAAGTCTGTGCAGTTATGGTGGGATTACTGAGGAAGAAATAGGATTAGTCAGCCCTGAACTAGTTACTAAACTTAATATTGCATTTGATAACATCTATCACGATGCTGAAGTGGCGAAAGAGGAACTTGCGAAACTTCAGAAAGCTCAAGGTATAGGTGTGTTCTTTTTTTATTCGTTTTTAGAAAATAGTGCGTTGCATTATTCTGAAGAGCAGTACAAACTAAAGTCAGCATCTGAAGAGTTAGAGAAGAAGCTGAGAGAATGCAACGATGCACTTTACGCTGTCGAAGAAAAGCTTCATAATGTTAATGTGGAGAAGGAGGATTTCCGTACAAAATTAAACGACTGTTTGTCCGTTAATAATGAGCTTAACCTCGCTATCCGTGGGTTAGAAAATGAGAAAGAAATTTTGTCAGATCAACTAAAGAATAAGCTCGGGTTGATTGACTCTCTAACCTCTGACATTAGCGAGCTACGTACAGAAGCCGAAAATGTTCGGAAACTAAAATTGGAAATGATGTTAAAGTCGGAAGATATTATTGGGCGTGAGTCGTCGATAAAAGTATGTGTTTCAGCTCCCAATCACTCCATGTTTAGGCTCAAGAAGCTCGTTGGTCAGACGAACTATCTAACTTACAGCGACACAATGACTGGCTAGAAGAACGTCTCCAACAGACAACTGACCAGTTACTGACAGTTAGGAGAGATTCGGTAAGGTCCAGATTTAATCTACATTTTTGCAGTACCAAAAGTCTTACTCTCTTGAAGCTGAACTTGGTCTTCGTAACGTTGAAGTATGTTTTTAATTCCTGTTATAATGTTTCAGCTTGAGAACTCCAAACAGTGCGTTGAAAGACTAGAAAAAAATGTGCAGAAGCTTACTCAGACAAATGACGAGTACATCGTCAAACTTAAACTAGTAAGTTATACTTATCTCTTGATTTTTCAGGTTACGGATGAACAAATCAAGATGGAGCAGTTGTACGGAAATGAAATTGAGGCACAGAAGCAACTTATAAAACTGTACAAGGTAATGATTTGTCTTTAGCTTATCCCAAAAATTAAGGAACAAGTAAAGAGCTGGAAGAAAAAAATGAAGAGCTTAGTGATGCTGCTTCATCCATCCAGGGCCTCTTAAAGGAAGCTTATGAGAGTAGATTTAATTACCTCACTTGTATTTCCATGTAGATGTGTCAAGGTTGGAGAATGAAAACTCCTCTTTACAAGCAAAATGCAGCGAAGCAAATTCCAAACTACAGATAGCTACTGAAAATCTCGCTTCTGAGATGGAAAGAAGTCAACATCTTCTGGATAAGTTCAGAGTGGATGGTAAACCTAAATGCAGTCAATATTGTTATGATTGATGGCCAAAACACTACTTAGGGTCGTATTTGTTACTGTCCTTTCATCCTTTTATCTGTCTCTTCACATGTATTCGGGTAGCGTGTGGCAGATGGGTATCTTTTATCGCGTTGCTTATGCTTGCTCATATTTCACTAGCTATCTCAATCATACTATTTCATTGGTCTGTTACCATCAAGTCTCGTTTTTACGACTCCTGACCTTATCAGTATCTCATTTGTTCGTCAGTTCTTTTAAAAAACCTAAATCCTTAGAACTGTCAGTTTACACGACGTAGGTTGACTCAAAGATTCCATATACTTATTAGTACTAATTGCAGTAATGGGAGATAGTATAGGTTACAGTGTTTCTCAACTTACTTATTATCATGTATTGGGGTTCATTAAAATAAATTACATCTTCAAACGGTCTCGAAAAGTTTTTGGCTGGATAGATTGCCACTCGTTCTGAAATACATGTTTGGACTCTGATAGTGCTCTAATAGGAGCACATATTTGCTTGCACCTGACTAAACACAGAAAAGCCACACTAAAAATGCCCATTAAATTTAAACTCAACGACGAGAAAGCCGAAGGTAAATTCCATAAACAAATGAAATCACACCTAGGCAATTTCGAAAACGAAGATGACCCAGATGTTGCTTGAAAAAATAAACGAACAGCCGTGGAAACAGCAGTGACATCTATTTGTAATTTAAACCAAAGGATTACGGAAAACCCGTGGATTTCCGCCACATCTTTTGCACTGGTAGATTCTCGTAAACTTATGCCATCAGGCTCTGAACACGATGACAAGCGAAAAAAAAGTTGCATCTAGGTTAACCAAAAAACCACGGAACGATCGTAAGCAGTGGTGGGTACGGAAGCAAGAGGTGGAAAAGGCAGTGGCTGTAGGTAACACAAGACAGCTTTTCAGACCAACAAAAGGAACCGGAATTAAAACGTCAAACGTGAGACAATCGCTGAAAAAGATGACACTTATTTGCTCTCAATCGAGACGTTTAGAACGATGGGTGGAACACTTCAGGGAGCGGTCCAGCTGGTCTTCAGCTACTTTACTGCTACCCACCATTTCCAAATAGCCTGAGTAAAACAATCAAGTAAACCTCCGACTCTAACTGAAGTTCAGGAAGCTATGGCTAATCTGAAACGATGAAGAGCAGCTGGTCCAAATGGATTAACTTCAAAGGTCTTTAAGGACAGTGGTCCAGTTTTAGCGATTAGGTCGACCAATATTTTAGCTAAAATTTAGGGATCGAATGTAATTCCATCTAACTGGTCGCAATCACTGATTGTCCCAATATATAAGAAAGGATCGAAATCATTCTCTGATAACTATAGAGGGATTAGTTTGACTAATAGAGCGTCTAAAATACTAGTGTCAATAATTATCGGGCGCATAACAAAGACTCGCAAAGTGCAAACACGAGAAAATCAGACTGCCTTCTGACTTAGTCGTGGCTTCATCGACCACATATTCACCATTTGTCAGGTTCTAGAACTCAGGCATGCTTATCGGCGTTCGACAATGATGGCTTTTCTTAAATTAAAAGCAGCATTTGACTCTGTAGACTGAGAGGTTCTGTGTCAGTGTCTATCATTGAAACGTGTACCTCAGAAGTACATAAACCTTGTGAAGGCCCTTTACTCAAACACTACCAATCGAGTCATCCGATTTTGCGACCTCAAGTGGTTTCTGATAAGGCTGTCCACTATCTCCATTTCTGTTTAATTTCATTATAAACCTACTGCTGGAAATAGCATTCTCGTAGTCTGGATTTTCAGGAACTGATCTTATACCAAAATGTCCACATATTAACTTAGAATAGTCCTGTTTGATGAAGACGCTAATAAAATGCAGTCTTCCGGTAGCACTGAGCAACAATGCCAGGATGTCGGGATGCGTTTCTCCCTATCTAAATGCAAACTGTGAGCTAGAGACAACAAGTAAACTACTACTACTCAAACTGCGAAAATTGATTACATTTCTACAGAAAATAAATTCGGATGTCTATTAGGAAGTTGACGATACTTAAAACATCACTTATCAAAAATGGTCAACACTATCATCACCATAATCAAAGTAAAACCTGACACATGGCAACCGCTTCAAGTTGCCATACCATATTAGTACAGCGAGATGAAATTATTTCAAGACAAAACCTAGTATAGTAGAAGCAGTAACAGTATCTATCAATAGTAGTAAGAAACACTAAGCAAAGAAAGAGAAAAAGGTGTATGGAGATTTTGGGACTTTTCTCCTAAAGAAAGATAAAGAGTTAATTGACCTCCATTATCGCGAACGATTTTGAACCATGTTACCCAAAGTTCCCAACCACTGGTTATGAAATCACAACTGATACCAAATCGTTGGCCATGGTGACACTTGAGGAGGAAGTCAAAAGAGGAAGTTTAGAGTTTAAAGTCGAGGTAGGAGAAACAATAGGGATCGAAGAGGAAGATTGATTATGAATACAGTGATCTTGAGTGCTGTTAGAGGTTTCTCCCCCTCTAAATGCGAATTGTTGCTTTAGCACTGGCCTACGTCAACACCTGAACTGAGGACAGAGAGTGAAGTAGTCGAACGCGTCAACTTCACTTATCTTGGAATTCTGGTCGACCCTAATGGGTTGGTGTTTGACGAAATCTCAGTAAGGATTCAAAAAGGTTGTTTGGCTTTTACCGACTTACGTCACCTATAGCGAAGGGGAGGTATCCTTCTATCAATAAAAGGACGAGTATACTATGCAGCAGTTCGTTCTGTCCCACTTTACGACTGCAAAACGTAGCCATTACGGGTAGAGGATGAGCGTCAATTACCAGTATTTAACCACAGATGTCTTAGAAATATTGCTCAAACCTGCTGGAATCACCGGGTAAGTAATAGTGAGATTAGACGCAGGGTATTAGGGAATGATGGTAAATCAGTTGATGAGGTTTTAAATCTTCATCGACTGAGATGGTTGGGCCACGAGTTACGTATATCTGGACATCGTTTACCACCACGCGCAATGCCGACCTGTGTTGGGGATGGTTGGAAGGAAGTTGGGGCCGGCCAAACCAAAACGTTGCATCAGTCCATAAAGTTACTAACTTATAGTCTTAGCCATGTTGGTAGGTGCAGACTACTTGGTTGAGGTCCATGCGACTATCGTAACCAATGGTTGGAAACTCTGTGTGACATGGCTCAGAATTTATTACAATGGCGTAGGTATATACACTCTTTGCCTGCCCTTAAACCGTGAGATTAAAATCATTTTATATCTTTCTTTCTACGAACTAATTCTTTCTTACTGTATGATATCCTTATACACAATCTTTCTTTTCTATATTACTACCATTTAAGTAACTGCTTCTGTGACTTTGGTGTTCACCTTGTATTTATGAAGTGTGCAACTTGGACCGATGCATATATGTACCTGGTCCTACTTTGCAGCTGACTGACTGTGGGTCGCCACATGTAGTCTTTCAGAAGACGGTACGGGTTATTTCAGAAAAGCAACGAAACTATCGGTTAATAGAGGTCATAAAGATACGAAGGTATTTTCAAGATCTGGATAAATCTGATTTACCTGTTAATACATCCGAATTTTAGCCAGTAATTTTCAGGTTCGAATTCAGCTTCACCTACTCTAGTTTGGACAACCGAGTAGTATCGTTAAACTTCACACTTAGTGTGGCTAATACCCAAGTACCTGGTAAATGAGTTAATTAGAACTTAAAAGATAAAGCTGGGAGGTGAATATACTTTCACCATTACGATTGATTTCTAACCATATCACATTAAGTTTAGGTACTGCTATACTATTGAGTCAGTGCTTACCATTCATTCCCACTTCAGATATATAGAGACTAGGCTATTTCTAGGTACTCAGGCAAGTGATTTTGAGTTCATACAAAAGTGATATTGTGAATTTTTGCTGTATTGCTTGTTTTCAAGTTATTATATTCTACCACAGGTATTTTAAGTGTATTTGCTCAACCCAACTTATAGTATATGCTTATGCACATTTTTGGCACTGAAAGAGTAGCAAGTCATTTTGTGCTATTATTTTTTCTGATCAACAACATTAGTTTGCGTGGGCTTGGAGTTTGCGTATCGGGGGTGTCTCTAAGGGGTTTGCTTACACTTGTACATTAATAAGTTGTGTATTGTCTGTAAAATAATGTTTGTTTCAAAACTATAAGTGACACCCTCGGTTCGGCATTATTTATTGACATGCAAGTTAATTAAAAAACATTCCAGGTATAATTCAATTTCGTCTGATGCAAATGCAAGTCAAGCCTTCGTTTTAAGCTGTTGGTTTCGTCATGTCTAGATTTGCAAGAGGTCGGTGTTAAATTGTGTCTTTTTTCCGCATAATTTAGAAGTCAACATTTTCGTATATTCGAAAGCAGCTTTGCTACCATGTACTGTGACTAAGCTTGGTGTTTCAGGTCCGTTTTCTCTATATGAATCGTCTTTGTTGTTGGGAAAATTTATGATGATTATGTGATGTTTTCTGTGGTTACAGTTTTCCGAATACGATTTAATAATAAATGCACATGTTTTACTTTTTTTAGGTCTATCTGAGGAAGAGTTACGCCAGCTTAACCCATCTGTGGCCGCTACGCTGAGCGCTTTAAAGCGTGGACATAGTTTAACACAGTTGTATACAGATTATGTGCAAGTTGTTGAAGATCGAGACCAGCTCAAACTTGATAAACAACGATTGACGGAGTATGTGGAGCAGATGGTCGATGAGCTCAAAGAAAAAGGTATTCTATTTTTTACCCT